CCTGACCACCTTTCTTATCTATACCGCTAAGCTCACTCTAATGAAGTGTCTGTGGCTGCAGAACTTAAACTTCCCTGAATGTGCTCCACCTTTAATAGTCTCATGGCCACTTATAATTCCTGTGCCTCCACATATGTCCTGGTTCAACGTCATTTTCAACACTGTCCTTGCTTATCTTTGCTCGTTGTCATGCTCATTGGTCAAATCTTCTTTAAGTTATGCATCTTGTAAAATGACACGGGGATTTATCACTCCTGAGAGACAAAGATTCCACATATTACCTTTTTATCCTTTGTGTGTAACCAGGAAAACAATTGCTTAGTGATTAATCTGACAGAAGTAACACGACTGGTCACTGGCTGTGACGGTTAGGGTTAACATTTAACTTGACAGAATATATGTAATCTCCCCAGAGATGGGTCTTTGGGCATGGCTGTGGAGGACAATCTTGGTTATATTTATTGATGTGGGGAGGATATGTCTTAATTTTGAGAAGGAAAATTTCCTGAACAAGAGCTATATACAAATACATATACATCATATATGTAAATTTGTGCATGCATATTATGTCATATATGCATTTATACCAACATATCCCATATATAACATATAACACACATACAAGACTTTATATAATGGACAAAATTATTTGTTCACTACCTATTATTTTTGTACTCTGCTTTATAAATGTGGATACAATCTGACAGTCTAGTTTCCTGGTCTTGTCACCACGCTGTCCCTGCTACTCCCACATTTTCCCCTTCATGTTGAATTATGCCCTCTAGAACTGGAAGCCAAAAAGAAGCCTCTTTTCCCTTAAGTTGCCTCGTTGGGGTATTTTATCACATTGGTGGTAAAGTGACAAAGACACTAGTCCTATCTGCCTCCAGTACCTGGTAGGCTGAAGAGCTGGTAGGGCAATTTGTCATTCATGTAGCGACTCACAACTTGAAGAGCATTGTTGTGGGAGTGATATTGTTTAAGCCATAGTAATTAAAATTTCTGAAAGTCAAAACTCTAAAAGTCAAGCTGGTTTGTAGGCAAACACAATCCAAAGGTATACATGTAATCAATACATTATATCTTGGCCTATTTATTTATTTTTAGTCTGCATCACTAACCTTACCTTCTGCATGCTAGGTAAGCACACTTACCATTGAGCTGTATACAAAGCATCCATACCATAGTCTTCTACTTCTTTGTTTTTACATATAAAGGCATGTCTTCTTCTTTATTAACAAATACAAGGAATTATATAAAATGTTTACGTCTAAATAAAAACCATATCAGATCTACTGATGCTTTAAATTCAAGAAAGAAAGTTCTCTATGGAGTCTGATCATGTGTGTGTGTAACTGCTGCCTAGGGGAGTGATTATCCTGGTTTAGTTATCAGGGCTTGCTTTTTTCTCATTGCCATTTGTGGAATTTCCATGTTTAACAGACAGAATCCTCAAGAATTGTGAGGAACTAAAATCAGGAGGATTTGAATGCAATATTTGAATTTTTAGAAGTTTGTGGTAAATTGAATGCAAAATAAGACCCGGTTACTCACCCATCTCTGCACCCACCTCATTATTAGCCCCTTCTTTAGACTGGGGTGGCTCTGAGACATAGTTTGGCCAACTGAATGAGATGGGCAAGTGGCTATCTGCCATCACACAACTTGTTTCTGCATTCTCAAGCCAATCTGCTGAGGCTCCTCGGTTTCCTGATAGTTTTCTGAGTTATATAGAGAAGATATTAGAGTCTCAAGACATCCCCGACCACGTGGTCTGATAACTTTCATGTACATGAGAAAAGTTATGTGTCTTTTAACTATCATTTAGTCAGTACTAAATGTGAATCATTTGGTATCTAGAACCATATTTCTATAAAATCCTGGGTGAAATGAAGGCTGATTGCTCCAAAGAAACATGATTAAAATGAAAAGTTACTGTGTAGCTTGGAAGAGGTTTTCCTTTCTCAAGAGAAAAATACCACTACCAGTCTTTTGACTAATGACAAATTTATAAGTAAGAATGAAATGCAAATATGTTTTCATTGTGTAAAGGTGTGGCCAATATCACCTTTCTAATGAATGGCATGGATTTTGATTCCCATTGGAACAGTGGAGGTCCCAGTGTGCCCACTCATCTATGTTTCCTTGTTTCAAATTCTTTGGGTAATTCATGTGAAAAAAGGCAATCTGAGTTTATAATTCATGAGTCACGAGAATAACAGTTTAGGGAAACACAATTTATCATCAATCAACCATATCCGACAGAATCATTGGACTAAAAAACAACCGAATCTCCACTGAGTGACAATAGAGAAAAATTCAATTATTCATCTTCTTCTTGACTGGAGATCTGATCACTTGTAATCTGGTATAACATGCTGCCTTGATTTGTATTTCTAAAGAATTATAATCCATAGCATTCATAAAAAAGTGAATTGTGAGATTCATGTTTCCAGTGTACAAACAGAATCACTTGGCACATGCCGAGGTGACCCTTTCAGAGCACAACCAGAGCTTGAGTGGTGATGGCCATAGGGACAAGATGAAGGGACATCTGCCTCTTAGTTGCTTGTCATTCACAGGAAGAAGACCGACTATACATCGCATGCCTGTTTGGTGTCCAAAGTCATTTCCAGAAGTTTACAATTTGTAACTACAGAACTTAACAGGATCCTAGGAGGGTTTGTGGAGTGTAAGGACCATTTACCTGAACTAGAAGGAATCAAAATGGCCAATTTGGTACATTTTTAAACCCTCTCCAGCCAATATGAGAAATCTTAACTCTATGCACATTGGCAATGATTTTTCATTCCTCTGCCCCAATAAAGACCAATCCATGAGGAAAAAGAAATTTAACTTTTAATTTAATTTTTAAATTTTTATTTGAAAAATACAATACACAGCAGAGAATTATTTCCTCCCCCACTGTTCTCTCACAAAGGAAGCTATGGAAAATGTAACCAAGATATTTGGCTAGGATAGATCCTGAGAAAAAGAGAGGCCCAGTTAGAAGTTGAATAGACAAAGTTTGTCAAAGAAGGTTCACTTCTCTTTTAACATAAAAGACCCTTTTAAGTTACCTTAGGCATCGGATAAGACTTGTGCGGAATTTCTGCCATGCAAACAGAGGCTACTGAAGTTTTCAGTTGGAACAATTTACACTGACCTGGGCCCCAAGGAAGAGGAATAAAAATGAGGGTCTCTATCAGAAATGTATGGGATTGCCTGCTTTTACTAGACTATGTATGTACATATGTATATATCGAGATTCGTGCTTTCTTTTACAAGTCCTGGGGATTGAACCCAGGACCTGTGCATGCTCAGCAAGTACTGCACCACTGAACGCCAGCTTTTGTGATTGTTTTAACGTTTTCTCAAATGTGTTTTCCATTATTCTCAGTAATAGCATCATGGTTAAGTAATCTTTGCTGGGTTTGGTTTATTCTCACTCATCTTTAATTTTTTTCCTGGATTTTATAATTGTAGAACCTTCTTGATGCTTAACTAGTAGGAGTGATTTTTACTCTGATACTGTTTTGTTGTTTAATTCATAACTCTTTTATAGTGACCAGGTTTAGGAAGGTGCAAAAAAAAAAATCTACACTGACCTTGACATCCTTATATAATGTAAGGCCACCAAGGAGAAAACCCTTCTTTCTTAGGTCCTTCTAAAGTGGGTGTAGAACCACCAGAATTAAACAGCTGTACAAACCCAACCAGCCACCCGGCCTTTGTTTAGTATTATGCTCACACCGTTTATTCCAGAACCAAACTGCCCATTACTAATGCTTTCTAAAGTATTTAGAAATTTAGCATTTGCCAAAGGCATTTGTAAACAATGCCTTTAAAAGGTCAAGACATGAAAGCTTGTTCTAAATTGCCAAAATAATTGAATTGTGATAGAGATCTCAATTTTTATAAAAGGGAATTTCTTCATTTGGCTCCTAGTGGAAGTGTTTTGACTCCTGCAGGATTGAAATTGGACAAATGAAATCCATTTGTAAATAACGGACAAGTCTTTGGTTTTAATTATTTGCTGATTAGAGGGTAAATTAAATGTTTGCTTTCAACTATTTTTCAAGACTAGAAAGATTTTTTTAAATTAGTTTCCACACATATAAATCAAAGCATCTTGGGTTAGCTGTAGAGATGCAAAGTGACTCTTTGCTTGATTCTCCTTATATTCTCTCTTTTTAGTTCCACGTGGTTACTGTAAAGTTGGTCCCTCGGCTGCTTTCCTGAATGGCAGCTGAGGTGCAGAATGAAGACACTTGATTTGGACTTCCCTTTTACAAAGAGCCTCACATCCAGACACTGAAACGTCATTGTTTTAGTAATAAAATTATTAAAAGAACCCTAGATAGCTCCGTGTTTGAAAAATGTGTTTTATGTTCATTAAGGTAAACATTTAAAATACTGCAGACATTCTGTAACTCTATCTTGGCATTTCTTCAGCTTTTTAAAGATAGGTAGTTTATCAGAACTCTTATGGCCTCATAAGGCCTCAATGTCATGAATGTTGAGGCAGTTGTGGCATATTTAAGGGGAAAAATGCAAATCCAGGGTAATTCTGTATTTCAGCTTTTTCTCTCTGCTTGACTAGAGGTATGGGATTGGGCATGTTATCAGTCTTGGCTTCATTTTTCTCATGTGTAAATAAAGCCATCTTTCAATCTTTATACAGGATTACTGTGAGGATCAAATGATAAAGTAAATATAAATACATATTAATTAAATTATTGGACAATTACAAAAATACATTAATCATATTTCTAGCATCTACATAATTGCATGGTAAGATCTGGTTCATTCCCACTTAAATTATTTGAATTCTTGATCAGTAAGAAAGCTTATGACTGGACTACAGCCAACCTTGACACATTACTAATGATGGAAAGTTACTCAATAATATGGTATCATGGCTGGTTTGCCTTCATCTATTCCAAATATTGCTGCATTCAAAAGTTGCAACTCAACCATTAAATCACAAGTGCCAAAGAAAAAGTCCAAATAAATAATTTTAATTATGATACATTACTTAGTGACAATAAAAATTGGCAATTTCCCCTTTAAAAGCAGAAGCACCAGTCTTAGAATGTGTAGTATGAATGGCATTGTAAGTGACATACAGAATAATGTGATGAGCAAACAATTTAGTATAGGACATACTTTCTAAAAGTAAAATGATTTCACACCCTGAAATCTGTTAGAATGGAAAAAAATGTCATGCTGCATAATAAAAAAAAGCCCCCGTGACTTTCAAAATTAACTTCAAATTAAATATACTGTACTGTTGAATAGATATATGAAAAATTAAAAAGGCTCAGTGAGTCCAAAATAGAGGGTTTCTCTCTTATACAAATATAACCCACATGGAGATTTCTTTTCACATAGTCACAGAGATTCTTTTGAGAAACTAAAGCGACTATTTTATTTAAGAATTAATTGGTTCATTTTGTCATCGTGTTTTTACTGAACACCCACACTTTGTGCTGGGCGGTAGGTGTTGGGGATACAGAAAAGAAAGCCATGGTCCTGCTCTTGAGGAGCTCACAGTCTAGTGGGGGACGGGGGAGGGGGTGGATCAGGGAGGGTGCTATTGAGTTTTCAATTTATAAAAAGTCTCAGATAACTTTATAAATTTCCTGTGTAATCAAATAAACCTTCTTATGAATGGATGGTAAAGAGAGATGACGTCCAGTGCAGGGAAAAACCATCTGCTTCAATATCATGTGACCTCTGCAAAGGCAGTGATGTGGTTCTGGAAGAGAAAAGGGAATTCCATAGTCAGAGTCCTGTGGAAACTAATTCTATAAAGTATTTCACATATTTGACAAATAACAAATATTAATTTAATAAAGACTTGTGGCCCACATGCATGCTGCCAAAACACGCAGTGCTGTTAAACTCACTTCTCGGTACTGTTATGTAATGTTAGCTAATTATATCTTTTATTCAGGATTCTTAATTAACGGAGTAGATTAAAATGTTATACCTGCTTTGCTCAAAATTAACACTCAAATTTGCGTAGACAAAAATGGGAATACCAGATGCATTAATATTCTGTGCGCTGTTAATGGACTTCAGTGTGCAGGCTGTAGCTTCAGACTAATTGCTCCCTGTGAGACAGATGGTATAGAGTGGGGTGGGCAGGCGACTGAAATAGCATTCGGTAGTTGACAGAGCTCTACTTAAACACTGCACTTTTGATGCATGAATTCAGACTCCACACCAAAATCTGGGTTTGTTGTTGTTTTTATTTCCTATGACTACAGGATTATTTACAGCCTCCAAATGCTTTTTTGCTTCTTTTGCTTTTTTTTAAAAAAAAAGCCATCAATTATAGAGACATAAACTTTGCAGAATGGCTAATGTTGAAATAGATTCAGGCATGTAATATGGATGCCATAGATGCTGAGATATTGTAGCAAAAAAAAATTGACAGTCTATGATTAATCCTGAAGTATGTGGAATTACATTAAGGTCTGGAATAAATGGCAATCTTGTATCACGGCAACATTAGAAAAAGGTTCTCTCATCCACACTGCCCGTTCAAAGTGCTTTTCATAGCAGATATGTTCAGAGTTTTAGAGATAGAGACCGAGGTGTGACCATGGCAGAGTTAAAGCCCAGGCAGATGAAGAATAGGATTTACTAAATATCCATTAGCTACTGTTCTTTCAAGTTCACACCACACCAGCAGGCAAAATACTGAGGCTTGTCCTTGAGTGCAGGGGTCCCCTGAGGAAATAATCACTGTGTGCCTTAAAAGTCATTTTAGATCCTGAAATTTAGAAAATTTAAGACAATTTTGATATTCTGCGTGTCAGGACTTCCAGACATAGGTGCTGGGAACCTAGGGCTCCGTAGAGCAGCAACTGCTTCTAACCAGAGATGTCTCTCCAGGCGAATCTAAGTCCAGTTTTAATGCTTCAAAGTCTACGTGAAAAATCTTCATTTTACTATGTATGTCTCTAGGCAGTGTAAAATAATCAGGATGGCGTGTAAGTCAAGACTCATTTATTTACGACACCAGAATTTAGTGGTGGCTTCCTACTTGACAAGATCTGCCACTCACAAAATCCCTTTCTTCAAAATCAGGAGAAAAAAAAGACAAAAGAGCACTCCTGAAAAGTATTCATAAACAAAAGAGTTCAGAAAATCAATAATTTTAAGGTATTAAACTATTTCATGTTTTAAAAACGCTATATTTCTATTGAGGAAAAAAAATGAAGCAGTAATGACAACCGCAGACAAGCTAAGGGGTGGGATGAAGATCCCTGTGACTGTTGGAAGCCTGCGCAGAAGGACACAGCTCTCTGTATTTGCTCTAGCTCCGCAGCACAGCTCCACCACCAGTGCGCTGACGCGCACATACGTTTATTGCCTTAATTGGAGGTGTTCGCAGTGGCTAATCCCCATTATCCAGCCGAAGAACCTGGCAAGGCAGTCTTTATAGGACCTCCCCTGTGAATTTCCTTCTTGATCATCTTCCATACATTGGTTTTGGAACACCTACAAAACGTGGTTTACATGCGATTTAAATATTAACTTCTTCGCTTCAGTGGAAGTACTTGTTGCTTCAGAGGTCTAGGTTGCTATTGTTAGGTCACACACCATAGAAACATGCTAAAGTGATAATGTGTTCCATGACCCCCACTAACATGCCATGTGAACATCTCTCCCAAATAATTTGTAAATGAGTGTGTTAATTTAGTAGAAAGAAATGAGTAAAGTTCCCCTTTTTTTCAAGATGGCAAAAAAAGACCTCATATCTTAATACAATGTTGTCAAGTCAGCTTCAGTTTTTAACATAAAATGGGATATTTATGTTCTGATTTTTTGACTGAGGTATTTGCTTTCTTGTTGAGGAAGCTGAATGGCACAGTAGACTCTACAGACAGATAGGTTGAATATCAAGTGTTTAAATGTGGCCTTCATCATAATGGGAAATTGCCAAGCAATTTGACCATCAAAATTCAGATTTCTCATACACAGAATACATGTATATGTACTTCAATGGATTTTTATTAATGTTAAATGATATATACGTGATCTTTCTTGTCCTCATTCCAACCCTCTTTTTGTGGTTTATCGATCATTTATTTGTGGTTGGTAATATTCAAAGGAGTGAGCTAAAAATAAACATTTTGAGAATTAAAGCAAAAAAAGGAAAAAAAGAATTGAAAAAATAATTAGTTGGTAGTTTTAAATAAAATTCACCATTTGTTCTTTCATCATAAAGTCCATAATTCAGAAATTGTACAACTGTAATATCCAATTCAACCTCAAAATTCAAATATTTATTACAAGAAGAATACAAACTCATTTGATGGCAAAAAACGTAACTAACGACACAAGACAATATATACTCTGTGTTTTGCTACATAAACAACAGTATTTTAATTCCAAAATCGGCAGTGTCTCCAGGCTACTTGTGCAACAGAATACATCATTTTCTAAAACACAAAGTATTTTGCATGCTGAAAACCATCTGGCTCTAAGGATTCCGAATAAGGGATCGTAGACCTACTGTTAAATCTACCAGTGAGGTCACTGTTACATGGATGCTGCCTACCCTTCACCAGGGGAAGTGGATTGCATGTCATAATCAACAACGCTGCTATGCTACATTTTGCTATTTGCCTCCCTATTGCATTCATTGTCCGCGGTGAGACAGGGAGCATGAACAGCAGAGCAAAGAGAAAATGTCTGATTTGATGGCCTGTGCCTCTAATCCCAGCAAAAGGATAGGCTGCAGAGCTCAAGGGTGGATGTTGCTACATACCGAGCTGAAGAACAGCCTGTGCTACAGAGACTCTTTCTGAAGATACAAAAAGTCCCAATAAGATAACAAAAGTGGCACCCCAAAAGTAGAATGTGTCCTCCCCTCCCCACCAATGTGCCATGTGAAGTCTCTCTCCTAATGATTTGGAAAAAGAGTGAGATCATTTAGTAAAGAGAAATCATTTTATGTTTAATGATGAAATTATTAGAGCAATTCAGACTTGAGGCTCTGGAATTGGTGGGTCAAACTAAAAGTAAGCAATTACTGTGTTTAACGAAACTGAGAATAAGGAAAAATAAAAGCCCAGATATGAACTGCATTGGACAGAAGCACTTTTTTGGGACAACTTCTCTCTCTCTAGTGACTTTGTTTTAGTGCAAAGTTTTGTATTAATTCAGAGCTTTCCTTTAATTCAAGAATTTCCTTTTTATGCAATTAAAAGGGACTAAAAGCTACTTTCCGGAGAATCCTCCCTGCCTAGGAAATCTGTGGGAGGCTTCTTGTGGCAAGTTAATTAAACAAAAAATGGATCTAGGCTCTGCTGAGGCATTAGCTACATGAGCTTAGGAGCCTGAATAGCCATAGAAGCTGCAGCTCCCAGTCCAGATTTTTAGATGCTCTGGTGCTCATCCTGGGCTTCATACTGGAGTTTGACTAAATACAGGCACAGCCCCAGAGATTTGGATTTAATTGGTCCAAAGCCTCATACAGCCACCAGAATACAGAAAACCTCTCGTGTTGATCCTAGTGTGCAGCCCAAGTTGAGAGCTGCTGCATCGGATCTGCTAACCCATCTACATGAGGCCAAGTTCTAGTTTCATATCTAATTGCCCGGGAAACTTGATGTGCATTGCCCCCATCTCCAGATCTAAGCAGTGCCTATTGCAGCAGAATCCCTGGGCTTTCATCCCAGAACTTTACCAGTTTTGAAAGCGCTATCTATAAAAAAAAATTGTCCTTGGTGGTATAGGTATCCAAATAGTTTGTCATATCCTTCCTAAGACTCAGCACTTTTCTATCTGCCACAATTTTCATCCATATTCTCAGCTATGTTCCTAGAAATATGTCATGTTAGGAATGTAAACTCCTAGCTTCCCTCATCTAACTGCAAAATTTGAACATGTGAACACTTTTTGACTACTAATTCCTACATCATCCACCCCAGCTTCAGGTCCTAATTTTTTCTCACTCACTTGGACCCCATGATGATCTGACTATGATTAACAGCATCCCCAAACCTCTTATCCCTATGCTCTGACTTAACCTGTTGGGAAATGGTTCTCCTGTCTCTTCCTAGGTGATGCTAGGAAGTGAAGGAGGGTTTCCTCCAATGTCTTCATCTACCACATCTGTTCCACTGCCATCTGGGTCTGCTTGCAAAATAATGTCCTTCCTCACTATAATGGAAACTCAAAAGGCCTGAGGAATATATTACCAGCTTTTAATTGAGTGTTTGTTCAAGTTTCATTTATTGTAACCCTAATAGAAATCACACTGACATTCTTAGTAACTAGAACTTATCCATAAATTGTTTCTATGCTTCATTTATGCTGATTTAACCTAAGTGCAATCTTGTTTGTTTGGTTCCTTTTAACCTTTAAAAATGCTTTAGATTGGCTACATAAGCAGACACACACACACACACACACACACACACACACACACACACACACACA